CTCTCCTGCAGATTGATGACACGTTCTGATTTTATTTTTATCTTTGATGCTCGCGATCATAATTCTACCTTCATATGCTGGCTGCCACAAAACCCCGGCTGATCTTATGTTAGCTTAAATATTAGTCGAATACCTACTGATCGTTCACTGTGCGCTCCATTAATCGAGTAAATATCAGCCATCTCCAATTATGAGGACCGTCGAGAGGCATCGCAGCACTTTAACATTAAAAAGCGAGCAATAATAAATTTAAAAACACATGTAAAAAAATTGCCTTCTTTATTGGAAAATTTTGAAGGTGTTCTATTGCACAATTTTTAATTTTTTTGATGCTTATTTTTTAGTTTTTCATTGCTACTGCTAGAGTTTTAATTGGAAATTCATCAACTATTCATGGATCATTCATGTTTTTTGGATCATTGCTATTTTTGAATTTTCTGTTGCAACTTTTCATTTTACTGTTGCTTATTTTCGCAGTTTTACCAGTGAAACATATATTTTCTATTACTACTATCCACTTGTCTAGTGCTCATTTTCAAAGCTAATTACTCCTGACCAAGGTTTTTTGGACATTTTAAATGCAAGATGTGCATTCTTTAGGTGTCGTTTGTATTTTGTCTCGCTTTTTCCTAGTTCCAGTTCTTCAAATATTGTCTACGCTCTTGATCATAAAATTTTTTTGAGTACTCAAATTTAGGAAAATATCCTAGCCTGTGATCGTGAAATCAGAATTTAGTTTAGAATTCTAATTTATATTTATTGGGGTAAGATCTAAAAACAGTTTAGCATTTTGATATTTTTGATAAATTGCGAAACATTCATAATTTTCAAATTCAATATCCTTTCTCAGATAAAGGTCCTGAAAAAATCACAAAGTTACACTTCCAAGAAAAACTAATTTCAATCTTTCACGTTTCAAAATTCGCCCTAATGACTACATGGGCGTAAAAATGTATATCTTCATTAGGGTGCCAATGAATGTGTAGGGGAAATGTTTATTACCTCGAAAAAAAAAGACGCTGTGCGATATTTGGGCTCAATCGGACGTGATTTTAGTTGGCGCAAAATCGTTATTTTCTTTTACTATTCGGCCCGGAACTGTTTGTTATGATGAATGATATTTTAATCTAGGTTTAAAACTTTAGATTTATCGGTGAAATGAACGAAGTGCTCGTGTCCAAATTTTGTACGTGGGTATTACATAGTTGTATCTGATGAATCATCACCGGGTCACACAAATAACGCTTTGAACAATATGGGTGAGTGGCGATAGCATGAATTTCAGAGGTATTGCAAAACCTCAAGGTGCTAGTGATGCACGGAGCCAGTGTTGAGAAAATGAAAAAAAAAATCACCAATGCCCAAGATTACGCTTGATATTCGTAGACAAAAATCAACAAGCAAACATCTGCGGTTGATTTTGCACGCTCGGAATATCAACACGGCGAATGAGAACGACCCAAATTTGAGTTTAGTCAACTCATAATCGCCAAAAGCGCAGGTACTCAGCGATGAGTAAAATTTGTCTCATGTTTTCCCAGGTTTTTCCAGGATTTTTGTGGGAAAAATTCCCGAATTTGAGAAAAGTAAAGATTGGATTCACTCAGTCTATTGGTACTATTTCGAGACTGAATAAAATTTTCGTCAATTTCCTCATTTTCTGACAGATTTTTTAGGTTTTCCACAGGAAACCATGAGACAAATTTACTCATCGCTGAGTTCCTGCACTTTTGGTGATAATGAGTGAACTAAATTAAAATGTGGGTCGTTCTCATTGGCCGTGAAGCCAGCAAAACTCACCAGCTGCAAATCTGTGGAGAGATCGAGTTTCATGATTATTGCTTTACACCCGAACGCAACCGAAGCTTCCATAACGTCGGTGAAGAGTGAAAAGAGATAGCAAACTATACTTTCTCTTTCTAAGAAAACGATGTGCAACGGCATCATTTTAGTGTCGAGTCAACTTTCAGCTTGATTTTTTGCACGTTGTGAAGGAGCTTGTAAAATCATTATGAAGCATGATATTTTGTTCCAATATCACGCGTGATGTTGAGAGCGTATGAGAGCGGAAAAATGTAATTTCGTTCTCTTCCACAACCCCACCATTTTCCTCTTCATCCGTATATATCCGTATATATATATATGGGTATTGATTATGCTCTGCTAAGAGCTTTCAAGATACCTCGCGAATGCTTCTCGTTGACGGGCTGAGAGTACGTGTGGATCCTACTCCTGCGGTAGTCTAATCAGGCCCTGAAGACCTCTAAAGGTGAAATATGAGTTTGATAAATTTGTTTTTCTTTTATTTAACTGTATTCAAACGAAATTCCTATAACATGGAAATTTATGAACTCGAAATTTTCTGATTTAAACGAATCGAAACATGAAACAAAAATTCCGTTAAATTCCGATTCGAAGCGAAATGCACGGTATAACTCGATATATTGGGGCCTCCCTTAGCTCAGTCGGTAAAGGCGCAGCTACAAAGCAAGACCATGCTGGAGGTGGCTGGGTTCAATTCCCGGTCCGGTCTAGGAATTTTTCGGGTCGGAAAATTTCTCGACTTCCCTGGGCATAGAAGAATGATTGGACTTGCCACACAATTATACCAATGCAAAAATGGTACAGGCATCGAAAGCTCTCAATTAATAACTGTGGAAGTGCATCTAGAACACTAAGTTGAGAGCACGCAATAAGCTAATATGCGATATGCAATAAGCTTGAAATACGAAGAAGAAGAAGAAGAAGAAGAAGAAGAAGAACTCGATATACCGCATGCCCTTACAATACAGCCATTTTTGAACTTCTTTATCGAATCACCATGAAATTGAATGTTAAATTCGTGCGAACAGAAAATCTTTTCACGGTTTTATGCGAATTTTATACGGTTTTTTATACTCAAGAGATTATTGGCGTTGTCTTGAGCTGCGTAGTGAAGGGGTCTCGATCCGGATGAATCTTGTGCATCTATTTTGGAAGTTGATTGGGGAGAATTTTTGCTATTTCTAAATGCTCCCGTTCAATACCATCGTTATTTACCATGCTGGAATGCAGTTAATAAAAAATCATGAATATATTGTGGTGACCAATAGCCACTTTCACAGTTGAGAGGTGTTCTTTATTCGTCATTCTGATAAAGTTTAACCATTGCTAGATGCCCATTTTCACCTGCACCTACACATGTGTATAGTGGAGAGCTGTTTTATTATTTTTATCCAGATGATCCACAATGAACGTTGGCAGATCGATCGAGGAGAAGTTCAACAATTTATAGACGCCGCCTTTTACTTGCTATGTGGAAAGGTGTTCCTTTTACTTCATCCTGATGATCCACGTTGGCAGATCGATCGCGGAGAAGTTTAACAATTTCTAGATGCCCACTTTCACTTGCATAGTGGAGAGGTGTTTTATTATCTTCATCCTGATGATCCACCTTGGCAGATCGATCGAGGAGAAGTTTAACAATTTCTAGAAGCCCATTTTTACTTGCATAGTGGAGAGGTGTTCTATTATATTTATCCTGATGATCCACCTTGGCAGATCGATCGAGGAGAAGTTTAACAATTTCTAGATGCCTACTTTCACTTGCATAGTGGAGAGGTGTTTTATTATCTTCATCCTGATGATCCACCTTGGCAGATCGATCGAGGAGAAGTTTAACAATTTCTAGATGCCCATTTTTACTTGCATAGTGGAGAGGTGTTTTATTACCTTCATCCTGATGATCCACCTTGGCAGATCGATCGAGGAGAAGTTTAGCAATTTTTAAACACCCCCAGTCACTTGCATAGTGGAGAGGTGTTCTATTATATTTATCCTGATGATCCACCTTGGCAGATCGATCGAGGAGAAGTTTAACAATTTCTAGATGCCCATTTTTACTTGCATAGTGGAGAGGTGTTCTATTATATTTATCCTGATGATCCACCTTGGCAGATCGATCGAGGAGAAGTTTAACAATTTCTAGATGCCCACTTTCACTTGCATAGTGGAGAGGTGTTTTATTATCTTCATCCTGATGATCCACCTTGGCAGATCGATCGAGGAGAAGTTTAGCAATTTCTAAACACCCCCAGTCACTTGCATAGTGGAGAGGTGTTTTATTATCTTCATCCTGATGATCCACCTTGGCAGATCGATCGAGGAGAAGTTTAGCAATTTCTAAACACCTCCAGTCACTTGCATAGTGGAGAGGTGTTTTATTAAATCTATCCGGAAGATCCACCTTGGCAGATCGACCGAGGAGAAGTTTAACAATTTCTAGATGCCCACTTTCACTTGCATAGTGGAGAGGTGTTTTATTATATGTATCCTGATGATCCACCTTGGCAGATCGATCGAGGAGAAGTTTTAAAATGACTAGACGCCCCCTTTCGCTTGCATAGTGGAGAGGTGTTTTATTAAATCTATCCGGAAGATCCACCTTGGCAGATCGATCGAGGAGAAGTTTAACAATTTCTAGATGCCCACTTTCACTTGCATAGTGGAGAGGTGTTTTATTATCTTCATCCTGAAGATCCACCTTGGCAGATCGACCGAGGAGAAGTTTAGCAATTTCTAGATGTCCCCTTCGAATTGCACAGTGGAGAGGTGTTTTATTAAACATATCCGGAAGATCCACCTGGGCAGATCGATCGAGGAGAAGTTTAACAATTTCTAGATGTCCCATTCGAATTGCATAGTGGAGAGGTGTTTTATTAAACATATCCGGAAGATCCACCTGGGCAGATCGATCGAGGAGAAGTTTAACAATTTCTAGATGTCCCCTTCGAATTGCATAGTGGAGAGGTGTTTTATTACCTTCATTCTGATGATCCACCTTGGCAGATCGATCGAAGATAAGTTTTGCAATTTCTAGATTCCCCAATTCACTTGCATAGTGGAGAGGTGTGTTATTATAACTATCCGGAAGATTCACTTTGGCAGATCGATCGAGGAGAAGTTTAACAATTTCTAGACGCCCCCTTTCACTTGCATAGTGGAGAGGTGTTTTATTATCTTCATCCTGAAGATCCACCTTGGCAGATCGATCGAGGAGAAGTTTAACCATTTCTAGATTACCCAAGTCACTAGCCACGTGCAGCGGACTTTTATTTTTAACCATGGCCATCAAACTCACATCTATGCCATAATCAAGTAGAAGTAAAACCATCTCATAATGACCAGCACGCGTCGCAGTGTGCAATAACGATCCATATTTTTTGAGTGTTTTAGTTTTGTAATCATTCTTTTGTAGTAGCCCCTTTACTACTTTTACAAAGTTTGCTTTACATGCCCAGAATGCAACTTCAGGTTTTTTTTTACAAATATTGCTTAGAGCAATCATTTGCTCTGATTGTTCTGAAAACTGTTCTTCAAATAGCATAAAGAAAAATCTTCGAACTGTTTCATTATTATGAAGTGTTTCGTACAAAATTGCTTTGCATTTTTGGATATGATCATATAGATACGTTGCAACGAAAAATTCGGCATAGGATCGGTGTACGAATCTAAGCTCGCCTTTGGAGAATGTAAGCTGGCTAATTTTCAATAGAGGAGAATGCTCTTTCCCGTCTTTGATTCGTTTTTGGAGTTCTTCGTAAAGTGTTTCATATTCACCCGATGCGATTATTTCCTTATGTTTATCCGCAAAAAGCTCGTGCCAAGCAGCTATTTGATGCTCAATAGTAAAGTATTTCAACTGCCAGCGCTCTTCGTCATCACTTGACATGTCAATATTTCGGTAAGCATCTTGGTCTCTTTTTTTCTTCCATTTGATTTGACACGAAAATTCTACAAACTTTTTAAACAATGAGACAACATTAAATTTTTCTTTCGGGAAAATATCTGGTGCACGTTTATCTGGAACGGTATTTAAATATTGTTGGAAATCATCAGAATATACTTCCGCCAACAATCGAATTAAAAGTGGAATACCAAAGAATTCAGTGTGATAGCTATTTATGTCCGAGTAGAATTTTTCGAGCAATTGAGTTGAATAAATTTTAAATTCCCTTGAATCATCGGAAGCTTTCCATGAATTTTTCAAAACCATAATTTGTTCATTGTTTTTAAATGGAATCAATCTGATTGCCCATGTTTTAAATTTTTGTTCAAGAATATCTTTGACATGATATCTACCACTAACAATCACTTGAATATTCTCCTTTGACAATAATTGCCTAAATACGGCGATTGCCTCGTTATGAAAAGTGATCTCATCGAACCCATCAAACAGGATTATAGTTCGATTTGCGTTGCTTTCTAGATTGTTTCTCAATATTTTCCGGCTTGTTTCTGAAAGAGTCGATTGCAGAATTTTGAAAACCGCTTCAGAGTTTTCACAGCCTGATTTGAGCACTTCCTTTAAGTTATTCAAATATATCAAGAACACATCAATATCGGATTTCTTTTGAACTTCGAAGGCAATGTGTTGGAGGATAGTTGTTTTTCCCATACCAGGTTCTCCGATGAAGAGAGAAAATTTGTTTTCTGCTGGGTCGTCTATTAATTGTTTGATGAAATCATGGTCGCTAACAAAATCATAGTACTCAATTAATGTTCTTTCTATGTACGAGCTTCCAATATATTTACGTTGTGAAAAATTACTACTCAGCTCCCTCGTTATTTCTTCGACACAAGAGCGTCCCTCTTTATAAGATAAGTAACTCTTTTCTGGCTTATTGTTTTTTGTATCCTTGTAACTATTAGAATTGATCCAATTTTTAAAAAATTTATTAAATTTAAAGAAAGGCAGTTCTAATTGTGCTTTTCCAAGATCGTCCGGTGGAATCCAATCTCTCATCCATGAGCGAAGATCATTCTCGATGGTTTTTATAAGATCACTTGGTTGGTTAACACAGAAAGTTAGATGCTGAAAGAACTTGCTCACGCTATCTTCATTTAAATACGTTGGTAGTTGGGTGTTCCTAGATTTACCTTTAATAAATGATTGAATCTCTGGATTTTTTGCTATTAATTTTTCATCAATATCCTTTAGTAGCTCATTGTACAACCATTCATGGGTGAGACCACCGTCCTTGGAGAGCTTTAGATTTCCATTTGAAACTTCCAGGATCTTCTGCAACGGTGTTTTGTAGCCGATTAGTATTTCCGAAACTTTTCCACTTTTGAAGAGTTCAATGATCGCATCCCTAATGGCATTTAGTTCGGTGTTCATCAACTTCCGTAAATCTTCAATTTTATCCTTTTTTGGTCTGAATCTTTTGTAGCAATCGTTCGATTCAGCAAACTTCATTATTGGGTTCACTTCACCTTGTTCACAGTTCTCGATGTCCACCAACTCTTTAAGCTGACTATTACTATCGTCTAATGATTTATTGGTTAAGATAAAAAATCGCATCTTCAACTCCTTGAACTCATCTTTTTGAATAACGTCTAAATACGACTGTATGTACTTGATAATAGCAAAATCATTATTACCTTTACACGTCTTCGGAAACAAATTGTCGAACGATATTTTTTTTGTACCATCTGAGCTGTCTTCGTGTTTGGCTTGGAAAAACCACACTTCCTTCCGTTTTTCGAAAATTATGACCACATCATCGAATTTTCCAGCGTCCTTCATTTCTGAGGCCAGTATGAATTCAGATTTCTGCAAAGATGCTCGCTCAAACAGCGCAAATGCTAAATCTTCTTCGTATTTGTTGCCATGATTGCCAGTATTGCCACCCCATGCATAGCAGCGACTGACATCCTTGGTGTGCTCCATTATTTTCCCTAAAATAAAAAAAGCAAAATCTATTAGTAACATTTATCATTAGCATTTCATGTCTATTGATTCAAACAAATCTGAAGGCTGCTCAACTGGAGTTGCTCTTCTAGACACAGGAAAAGCATTCGACAGTGTTTGGCATGAAAAAGTTTCAGAGTTGGTTGGAAATGCTATCTAACATGAAGCTTTAGTGTGATAATTGATTAGCTAGCGAATAGTCTTTAGAAGAGAGTAGGTAGATAGTTCCGTTAGAGTACGGCAATATGGAAATTGAATAGAAGTTGAAAATGAGCGAAGGGCCTTTAGCTATTCCACAGCCGCAGACATTAATGAGCAACGGCAGTCGCACACTTTTTGCCTGTAGATTTGAAGACATACTTCAAATCTCCGCGTACTTCGTACGGGCTAGGCAAAGAGTGTGCGTTTGACTTTGTACTGTCGCATTAATGGCCCTTCACTCATTTCAACTTCTATTCAATTTTCATATTGCCGTACTCTAACGGAACTATCTACCGACCCTCTTCTAAAGACCATTATCTAGCTAATAAATTATCACACTAAAGCTTCATGTTCGATAGCATTTCCAACCAACTCTGAACATCGCAAACTTCGCGTATGAAGTAACATAAAAACACTTTGAATGAAAAAGTTTATTTTTCCACTCAATATTATGAAATTAATTTTTTGGTTTACGGTTTAGCGACTTGCAGTCAATTTAATTGTTTGTAACAAAGTTTGAACATACTGAGACGTAAGCACATATCATCGGTAAAAGACGTGTGTGTGAGAAAATTTGCGAAAAATCTAAGGGCACCGGTGGGATTCGAACCCACAATTCCCATTCAGTACACGGATGCATTACCAATTATACAACGGTGGACCTATATGGTCTATGGATGTATTTGTCTGATGAAATTTGAGTTTCGAATCCGTTTCCCACCCTAGTTTTTTTTTTGCGCAAGCGTTCTCTAATACACAACAAATGTCTATTATCGACGATATGTGCTTGTACCGCAACCACTCAGTATCAGTCGATGTGAACAAATACAGCTCTTTTTTGTTGTACCTACATCCTTACAAGTTTGGATATTTTCTCTTCTTATTTAAAAAAAAATGGAAGATTTTTCCCAACGCTTTCAAAACTCAGCTTATAATATTCCCATTTAATTTCTTGGTCATGTCAAGTGAAATATCTTGGATTAGTGCTTGACCAAAGATCACAGGGCATTATAAACCCCGGAAATCAAAACTCTGCCCGAAGAATAAACTAATAATATTTAATCAGGTTTTTAGTTAGACAAGGACAAAATCACCTCAAAGGATTCAGACTAAAGCTCTGAATTTGATTTTGAAGTTGCCTTCATGGTTCACTACTGCCGAAAAATCTAGAATTGATTGTCAATCCTCAATTGCAATGATTAATTCCCTTTACAATTAAGGCCTGTACTCGAAAAAAATGCACCAGACAAAAGTGTTCGCCAAAAATTTATTTTAAGTCGGATTTTCTTGAAACTTTCAGGGAATGAACTAATGGACACATGGATAATGTTTTGGCATAATTAATTTTTTAAATTTCCTTTCCATCGCTGAAAGCCCGCACCTTTCCCTTAAGACCCCCATTACATTTTGTGCAATGGTGGAGCCGACCTTTTTGGTCACTTTCATCCATTATTTCTTCAACTCCAGCTCGTTCTTAAGCACCTTGGACGATTTTCGAACTTTGGCCTTCATTATGGCCCAAAATCTTTCCACCGGACGAATCTGTGGTGAATTTGGGGGGGTTGGAGGTTTTTGGTACAAAAACAACGTTATTGTCTCTGTACCAATCCAACGTCGATCGCGCGTAATGGCATGATGCCAGGTCCGGCCAAAATAATGTTTCGTCTCCGTGGGATCGCAGGAAGGGCAACAGACGCTTCTGGAGGCACTCGGTGCGGTAAATTTCACTGTTGATGGTACCCATTGTGATGTACGGTTTACTCAATTTACCGCATTGGCATATGGCCTTCCAGAGCAAGTATTTTTTGGCGAGTTTGTCCACTTTCTTCTTCCTTATGTCTTCCGGAACATCACACCGTGATTTGGCAACGTAGAACTCCAGCCCCGGTATCTGCTTTGCGTCTGCCTTGATGTAGGTTTCGTCATCCATAACCACACACATCGGTTTCGTTAACCACTCTCGATACAGCTTCCTTGCGCGGGATTTGGCCGCCGTGTTTTGTTGATCACGCCGGTTCGGTGCCTTCCGGACTTTGAATACACGAAGCCCAGCTCGTTTCATGGTTTGCTGAACGAACCAGGCGAAACACTTTGCCTTCAGAGCCGCGGTTCGGATTACGCTTGAAATAATCCAACACCTTCCGGGCCTTCACAGGGTCAGCTGTCTTCGATTTTCTTCCACTTCCAGCCCGCCGCTCGGTCGTCTGGGACTTCTTAAACGATTTTACCACCCGAGAAACAGTTGTATGGGTGAATCCTAGTTGTCTTCCGATCCATCTCATGGTCGCAGTCGGATTTTCCATGACGGCGCGCAAAATTCTCCAGCGATTTTCTTCTTGTTTCGATAACCACTGAACCGATTGTTATGAAATTTTGCACATGTAAACAATTCACTCCAAACTAGTTATACCCAGATTTTCATTAATTTTTACCCACGGATAAAAAAGTTACACACGGATAAAAATGGTGCATTTTTTTCGAGTACAAGCCTTAGATAAGTTTTAGTTTTAGCTTTCAGTTTTAAGATTTCAATTGTTATACTGACATGCAGGTTTAGAAAACCTGTTTAAAACACTGAATTGCCAAAGCAGGAACAATGTAAATACACATAGCTATATATCAGAACAATTAAGGCTGGTAAGTTACTTTAGTAGCTGGAGCACCTAAAGGGTGATACGGTCAAAATTTGGTCAAGGGAAAACGCGTGTAAATCGGTGAAATCGTTTATTTAAAAAATCAAATTAAATTTCTTTTTCAAGTTCAATTAGTATAAAATTCAGGAAAAATATTCAGTTAGGCTTCCGCTTTTCCAAATCCGAATTGCCGAGCCTTACGCTTGACCCCTACCATCTGATTTTGTACAGCCACCTTGTCCACCTTCTTCGCCGCAGAAAGCCAGTTTGCCTTGAACTGCTGCTCGCCCTTAGCAGTTTTTTTGGTCTTCTTTAGGTTCCGCTTGACAATAGCCCAGTATTTCTCAATTGGGTGGAGCTCTGGCGTGTTTGGAGGGTTCTTGTCCTTGGGAACCACCTGAACGTTGTTGGCGGCGTACCACTCCATGGCCTTTTTACCGTAATGGCAAGATGCCAAATCCGGCCAAAACAGTACGGAACAACCGTGTTTCTTCAGGAAAGGCAGCAGACGTTTATTCAAACACTCTTTCACGTAAATTTTTTGGTTGACAGTCCCGGAAGCTATGAAAATGCTGCTTTTCAAGCCACAGGTACAGATGGCTTGCCAAACCAGATATTTCTTTGCGAACTTTGACAGTTTCAAGTGCTTGAAAACATCTGCTACCTTTCCCCTTCCTTTTGCCGTATAAAACTCCTGTCCCGGAAGCTGCTTGTAGCCGGCTTTGACGTAGGTTTCGTCGTCCATTACCACGCAGTCAAACTTCGTCAGCATCGTCGTGTACAGCCTCCGGGATCGCGCTTTGGCCGTCGTATTTTGTTTATCATCGCGATTTGGAGTCACTACCTTCTTGTAAGTCGATAGTCCGGCTCGTTTTTTGGCTCGATGCACGGTTGTAGACGATACACCCAGCTTATTTGCGGCATCTCGGAGAGAGAGGTTAGGGTTTCGCTTGAAACTACCGGCAACTCTCTTTGTCGTCTCAGCGGCTTCCGGTTTTCGATTTCCCCCCGATCCAGACTTCCTGGCTGTCGACAAACGTTCCCCGAACACTTTAATTACATTTGTAACGGTTGATTTGGCAACTTTTAGCGATTTTGCCAACTTTGTGTGCGAGTAGCTCGGATTTTCGCGATGCGCGAGCAAAATTTTGATACGCTGCTCTTCTTGCTTGGACGGCATTTTGACAACTGAAGAGTGAATTGCAAAATCAAAATAGGAGCAACATTCTACACACACACACCTTCAAAATGAGGGGTGTTCAGGTTTTTTAAATGCAAAATTGAAAGAAATACGTCAAGTTGATATTGACCAAATTTTGACCGTATCACCCTTTATATGAAA